GTTGTAACGGTTAGTTAACGATATTTCGCGGCTAAATCTTATTGCTTAGTATTCTTGACACAAAACACTGGACAAGTAACACAAATCAAAACACGGTTGAACAGGAAGGATTGTATTCCAAAATAGCAAGGAAAAGAAGCTGGAGGTGATGGCGAAAGCCAAGGCAAAAGGGCTTGAAAGCGAAGAAGGCTAGAAGGCTTGAAGGCAAAGATAAATACAATGCTAGTCTATTTATAGCCTTTACATGAGAAAACTTCTGGAAGAAAATTCACGTGATCGACTGGACTGGACCTGACCAATCAGCATGCAGCTAATAATACGAGAATTTTCTATCCTGTTCTCCAAGCTTCGATCGGGCGCTGATTGGATAGGAAATTAGCCAATCAGCGCGTAGTGACGTAATCATGCTTTAAATCCATCTATGTCCCACTAACATACGGCGATCAGAAAGACTGAGAGAGCGACTTGTTAAAGGGGGACGAGTGTGGTGTATGCTACTTATACGAACGATATAAGTAGTATAAGGGACGTGAAAGAAGTCTCACGGTCAGAAGAGGAAAACGGAAAGCAAATGGAGCAAAATCAAGAATTAAATGGAGTACCAACAGCAAGGAATGGAAGCAACAACAGGAATGGAAGAAGGATGGAGTGATGGAATTCACGACTCAAAGATGGTGTGCAAATAGAGTATTCAATGTAATGTTTTCGTTTTTAACTGACGCAGAGTGTAAATCTGTATAATACGATCTTCCTCGCCTTCCTCAGTCTTCTCAATAGCAAATCAATAGATGAAGTATTGAAACTTCATCAGTTGAGGTGGTTGGGACGTGTGTTAGAGATCTTGAACTCCTTAACTCAAAATCGTTTGCAAAATCGCAGGTGTATTCATTCTTCGTGTTCTCTGATATCCAACCTTATGCATTCCTCATCACATCTATCTTTTTCATTCAATGTTTATTTCACCATATTTACTTCTTGATCAATATGTCCGAACCCTGATCTCTCCTCTTTATGGTAATACCTTTAGTACCTCAACTTCTCTGGTACTCCTTTCAGTGACGACACTGTCACATAACTTCACGTTAAACACAGTCGAATTGTGCTTCAAGGTCGAGAAACACTGCAGTGAACGAGAACACATGTGGGACAACCGAATCGCATTTAACGAAAATTACAGAGTTACTCAGTAAAATCGGAAAACCATATCGTAAATCGTTAATTTGCAAAATATCAGTTCATCATATCGAACTGGACTGTTCCTGTTACAAAACATCAATCCATTGTCACTAATCAGGTTCACTAATCTGGTTCAGTTAAAAACCAGATACATCAGTAATTTGTACTCAATAATTAGATTAATTGATAATTTTAGAATATTTATGTGTAAATACCATAAAAACGTATCAAAAATATAAAGAACAGATAAATTTGACTATAGGAAAGGTATATGTGATAACGAAATAAAAATTTCAGATTTCGCACATAGCATTCACCAATCCATGTTTTGAGGCTTGTTGAAGCCTGACATTTTAAAAACAATTTACACTAACCAGCCTATAGAGCATAAGAGATCGTTTCATCACTAGTTACAATATTTCTAAAATACATTACCTTCTGGGTATTTGTATGGCTTCTTTTTACGCATTTGACGAGCAGTAAACCACATTATTCCACCGGAAGCCAAATCAACACAACTATCTAATAAAGACGATATAATTGCTAACGACCCTGATAAGGCAGACGCTACAGCTTTACCCAATAGAAGTACCTATATAGATATAATTCCAAAAGGACAATAAGATTTTAAAAAATTCCCAAGTTAATTTAGAATGGCTATTATATGTCTAAATCATTAGATAAAGAATACGACCATTAAGGAAGTTAAATTTCGTCTGAAATGTCATTAAAATAAATTCACCTCATTACAAAAAAAGGTAAAAATGATTAAGATGAGTCAAGGAATCAAACTGGAAACATATCAACATAAAACAGAAACTCTAAAGTTAAATTAGAGACAGTAACGCAGCTAACTGCTTCAAAAAAACTGAACTCATGCAAAATTGCCTGTTTATACCTAATGACCATTCGATATAATCTATTTCTATTACATGAAAACGGTAACAAATTTCGGTCAGACATACAGTTATAACGTGCAACTTGCTGCATACGGATATTAGTTTAATATGCCAAACCACATTAGCACAGTGGACCAGTACTTTGACTACTAAACGAATAAACCGACTACGCCAACGTGACGCAAGTTGGCAAAAGCCAGTCGAGTCTTCTGCAACAATGCTGAGATTTCGTCAAACACCACGTCATCAGCACTAATGAGACTCCCGACATAAGTAAAGCGGTCAACGTGCTCAACTACTTCACTCCCTATCACTAGTTCACGTACCGATGTAAGCTAATGCTGAAGCAACGATTGCATTTAGAGAAGATGGATCGCATCGCGAAAATGCTTGCACTGTTGTATGGGGTAGTCAAACGACTGTGCATTCTGTCAGCGTCTCCATCAAATAGAAGCATTTCATCGGCATACTCTAGGTCAACAGGTGAATTTCCTGATAGAAGGTCAACTCATGAAAAGTATGAAGGAGATAGTGTTATCTCTAAAAGCATGACGATGACAGAGTTGGATAGGAATGCAGAAATTGGACATCCCTGACGGACACCATTCCAGGTAACCAATTCTGATGACAGTTCGCCATAAGCTTTGACTCGGCCAGTATTGTTCGAGTAGAGAGGCTGTACTACATTAATGTACTTCTCTGGTACTCCTTTCAGTGACGACACTGCCACAGAACCTCACAATCAACAGACTCAAACGCGCCCTATGGTCTAGAAACAATGCTATTGTCGGACGGCCGGAAGTGTTTCCGAGTTCTAGGACCTGACGTGATGTGAATATCTGGTCAATGCGTCCACTTTCAGGTCTGATACAGGACTGATTTTAATCTAATCTAATCTAACGAGCGACAGTCCTCTATCGAACACATCCATCGCTGGCTGATGGCAATGTGATCTAGTTGCGTCCAACGTTGAGACGACTCTGGAGGCCGCCAGGTCAACAGATGCTTTTCCTTATGCATAAAGTTAGGGTTTGCTAGAAATAGGCAGTTATCTGAGCATAATTGCAACAGACGGTCGCCATTGTCTGTTCTCTGAGCAGCGACACCATAACATCCACCTAGGTGTCTCTCCTGCTCACTCAGTCTACCTACTTGAGCATTAAAGTCACCCGCCATTAATACTATATCAGAGCGCCTAACGTTTTGGAGAAGGTGCGAAAGCTTTCTGTAGAACTCGTCCTTCACCTCGTCTGAACTGCAGTCAGTGGGGGCATAGGTAGATACGATGAAGAGGCAACGGCAATTGTCCCTATCTTTCCGAGTACTTACTGTCCCATTTAGTCGGACAGCGCACAAGCGACCATCTACTGGGATCCAGTCAAGGAGAGATTGTTCAGCTCTACGACTCAATGCTATGCCTACGCCAGCAAGACCCCTGGAAGCAGTATCAGGGCTCCCGGATACACGAAGTGTAAATCGAGCTGCTTCTTTATTTTGACAAGGTCAAATCAGATTAATAATTTTACTAGGATCCTGTGTGCGCGTTTCCGAGATGCAGCATACATCGATGGCACGAGATTCTAAAGTTCTAGATAACGAAGCCTGTCGCCCTAATTGACATAATGTACGCATATTAAATGCTGCAACATGTAGTCTAGAACGGGGTTTCAGGAGACCAGAAATAACGTTTCGTGAACTCGCATCGTTTCCATTAGTGGTGCAGTGAGACAAAAGAATGTGAGAAGAGTTACTCGTGGAGATAAGAGAGGAATCAGGGGGTGTAGGAAGTATTTGATTTTGACGAGTTTGGTCAGGAGTGCTGTTACGGGAATGAGGGCGGTTGTCACTTCCCGGCTGCCCTCACCGTGGATGGTTGTTTATTGAGGGACCTGAAAAAGAAGGTAGATTAGTGTCGATCTTAGAAACATGAGAGCGTGACCACAGAGCCCAAGGGACAACTGCTTGAGGCCCCTTACACACGGCCTATTTATTAAAGGTTTTTCTTGAGTATTAGCTCCGCTCTTAAAAGCCCTTAGTGGGCACCATTGCCACCGGAGACGGAAATCTATAGGGTCAGGGTGAGGTATGACATTTTTAGGGTCGAACTTTTCTAACCCTCCCTTCATTGTGAGAAGGCAGCATCGCTGCAGATGCTAGTTGTCCGAGGGAAACACCTTACTGCTGTCACACCCCTCTGCAGTCAGCAGTACGACTTCGCCCTCAGACCTTGAGTAGCTGCTTTTAGTCTCATCGTTCTCCAATCGACCTGTCCGGCATGGTAGAACATTCAGGAACATATGTTGCAGCCAGTATAGCTCGGGTGGGTTATCACGATAAGCAAGCCCGACTACCACGTCAAGGTAGCAGCAACGGTCGGAGGATGAAAACGCGTAAACGTTGAGCATCAATAACTTAGTAAGATTAACCAAAGTTATTTCTTGCTACATTAGAATAAAATTCTGTTCTTTCCCATTTAAGTTAGAATCAGTAAACTAACAATTAATGTTTGTATACTTACCACATTGGTACAAAATACAATGCTTATGAGAATTGTATTAATTCGTGTTTGCCGACGAATAGAATGATGATTGGAGGTAACCTGCACATTAGGGGTTTCTGTCTTCATAATGGTAGCTATCCTCTCCAACTCATGAATATGTTCATCTTGTTGTCGATAAAATTGCCTTATTTCAGAGAAAATTTAAAAGATGGATATTTAAAACAGTTTAATTTGGCTACGACAGCTGCACTGCAATCTCATATTTAGATACCATAAATCCGTTTCATAAATAGGTACTATTGTCTGATAGTGTAATATAATCATCCGTATAAGAACCAAGGAATTTAAATGTATGGGACGACATGGGGAAACCGATAAGGATTACACTACAAACAAGGAAACAGACTTAGTGTTCGAATTTCACCGATAAAATCGGCAAGGACTAAAACTTTGATGTGCAGTGTTGAAAAAAGTGACGGTAAAGGTATGTTTGATGATCTTTGTATGAATTATCACGTGAAAACTGCATCAAAAGATTTTCAAATGCGTAAATTCTGCCTAAAGTCAGTTAGAATCGGACATTATAGATAGTCCGCGTAATAAAAAATGCAATAAGTCAGTTACAACGTCGAACTTCGGACGTATGTACATCATTTCAAGTTGTCAAACCACATTACTACAGAGCAGCAATTGCCGATTCAAATCCCATACTAGTAGAGATAACAAAAAGATTAGCTGTAATGGAGATTAGAGAATGATTCAGTGAGATAAATTAAGAAAGATGGAGTTGATAAGGAATACAGAAAATTAAAATTTGAGAAGACACGGAAAAGTGGATGCACCTGAGCCATTGAAAACGATTTTGACCCATGTCTCTAACCATCACTTACAATATTCTCGCGCACCCCAGACAGGTAGTCTACGACTACAAACACAGCCGTCTACTTGTCAGTGACTTCATGGATTTGTTCCATTTTCTGGTTTGACCGCCCCTAGCTTTTTACCAACCTAATTCTACATCGCAAAGCATAGCTTCACGAGGCAGTCGATGGTTACGCATAAGCAATGCATATCTCAACCACCTCAACTGATGACGTTTCAATACTTCATCTATTGATTTGCCATCACTACACAGTACTCGTTTCCTAACGACAGCATTGCTTACTCGGTTGTCCCAGGATACGCGAGCAATGCTTCAAAGACTTCTACAATGGAATACTAATAACCTAAATTATTGGTCTCAATAATACTTCGACGCTGAAAGAAATCTCGTGTAGAGCAGACTAGAGAAAACCAGGCTGGTTTTCGACCTGGACGTGGTTGTATAGACCACATTTTCACACTACGACAGGTCCTGGAACACAGACACATATTTAGGCGTCCTACAATAGTTGTCGTCCTGGACCTATAAGCGGCATTTGGCTCAGTGGATCGTGAGGTTCTGTGTCAGTGTCTGTCACTGAAGGGTCTACCAAAGAAGTACATTAACCTTATACAAGCTCTCTACTCGAACACCACTGACGAAGTGAGAGCTTATGGCGAACTGTCATCGGAATGGATTACTTCAAGTGGTGTCTGTCAGGGATGTCCAATCTCTCCATTCTTGTTTAATTTTATCATAACCTCAGCCTCGTCTAAATTTCCAGGAGTAGACCTATTACCACGAGGCTCGCTTATTGACTTAGAATATGCCGATGACATAGTCCTACTTGGTGAAGACGCTGACAAAATGCAGAGTCTTCTGACTACCCTAAGAAACAATGCAAGCATGTTCGTGATGCGGTTCTCACCCTCGAAATGCAAAATGCTGCTTCAAGATTGGGTTGCATTGGCACCTGAACTAGTGATAGGGAGTGAAGTAGTCGAGTGTGTAGACCATTTAACTTATCTGGGGAGTCTCATCAGTGCTGATGGCCTGGTGACTGACGAAATCTCGGCTCGGATACAGAAGGCTCGATTGGCTTTTGCCAACCTGCGTCACTTATGGCGTAGGCGAGATATCCGTTTGCTTACTAAAGGACGAGTGTACTGTGCAGCAGTTCGCTCTGTCCTAATATACGGATGCGAAACATGGCCGTTCGGAGTAGAGGACATTCGTAGGTTACTAGTCTTCAATCATAGGTGTATCGGAAGCGTTGCTCGTGTATCCTGGGACGACCGAGTAAGCAATGCTATCGTTAGGAAACGAGTTCT